AGAAATACAATCTTACTTTCACTGCGGTTAAATGAAATATGATCGAAACGGATGGATTAAAGTGTCAAAAACTGAAGTTATTTGTTATGAACGGCTTTGTTAATAGGCAGAAAGGCAACAACTATTTAGATCTTCTGCTGACCCCGAAATAATATTAAAGGTTAATTTGTGAAGGATTTGTCGAGCTGCTGCTCACTCTTGAACAGTGAAACACCTTTAAGGATGTCGTCATGATAATATGGGCTGATCAATATTGACTAATTGGCCAGATACTAGCCCGTAATTCATCGTCAGAATCACAGTCTTTCTCCTCCCAGGACGCCGTGTAGTCGCTACAAGTAGAACAGGTAGGACTCTGGACGGTTAGTCTTTCGTCCCTTGGTCCTGAAGAGGACCGTTGGGTTTATGTGTAGCATTTGATTATTCTTATTTACTCTGCTTCTGAAAGGACTTCGGTGTCTCTATTAAGATCCTTTTATGTTGCTGAAAATTCATTGCTGTCATCTGGTTCATCTTCATCTGATAGGATTTTTTCAATTGATTGTTGTATTCTTCTTCGCCCATTGGAATATTGAAAATCGTGATGTCTTGCGTAAGACAGAAACCATATTATCGTAGCTTCGTGTGCACAGGCACCTACAGTCCTGGCACCTGATTTGCATTGGCAATACCAAGATGTGATGGGATCTCCAGTAAGAGAAAATTGAATCCAAGCATAATATCTTGTACTGTTACTATGCCGACTTTGAATAGCACAACGTATAATTTCGTCTGTTTCTTTCGAAACTTGTATTGCAAAATCACCATTCACATCGAGATGTTCTTCAGCGTAGGTTTGACTTTGCTTGATTTGGTATGATCCGAAAAATAGTTGACGTAGATCTTCTAATTCCATTTCTGGAAAGTCAAAATCTATTTCGTTAATTTTTTTCCATCGTTGTTTCGTAGACAGCTTTCCTTGTTCCACCAAAGTCACAAGATAGTTGTGTTTTGCAAGGCGATCTGTCATGAGCGTTGCCAATCGGTCCATATGATTTGTATTATGATCTTTTATAATTGATCCTCGAAGCCAGTTCAATGTAGCAGAAACTATTCGAACACAATCTTGAAGCTTTGGCAATAATTGATTTTCGATTCTGTCGGAAAAGAAGCGCCATTTTTTTAATCGAGCATGATAAGATTCAACAGTCCATCGTACTTTCGTTACCAATCGGGCTTCATTCGCTTCGTTCGTTGTATGTTGTTTCTGTCCTTTTGGTAGATAAATGGGCATTTTTGGTTCATAACCTAAATCAGAAAAAGCTTCAACAATATCCCTAAAACCACGATCAACTATCATGATATCGCCGGGTTCGCACCATTCCATAAGTGCATTCTTCGTTTTCGTTATGTGATTGGTAATTGAGGCATCATTTTGAGTACCAAAAAACGGTCCCAAAGTATCTAAACAATAGCCATCTGCCAAGCATAAAGACATAAACTTCACCAGATGTCGTTTTTTTTGTCCTGAATAAGTAGATCGTTGAAATGCATGCGAACTAGATTTGCCAGTATAGAAATAGGTGCCATCCCATATAATGGTCACTTTTTTTCCAAAAAATTCGTTGGAAAACGATGTATTGTGATCAATGGCTTCTGAGCGTGATAAATGGCCAATTCCTAGATGTTTAGGCAACAATTTATCAACTAAGACTTGGCGAATAGAATCAAAACTTCTGGAAACCACTTTTCGACGATTTTCATAGTCATCTGAAATATTGAATAAAGAGCCAATTTGTCTGAAAGATAAATTTGTTTTGAGTTTGATCCAAAACATAGCCAATGCATTTCTTGCTTCACGGTTGCTCGATGATCGAATATGCGACAATATTAGCATAAACATATGTTCGAATTGTTCCTTGGTCCATCCTGTCCATGTTAAATAATCTTCATTAGACATAGAAGGATCCATAAAATCCAATATGGGCGCTGTAGATGCTTCTTGTAGTAAACCTAAAAGATCATTGAACAAATTCAAAAGAACAGTTGGTTCCAACTTTGCCATTGGTGTCTGACGATTGTCCATATTTATTTTCACGTCAGGTAATAACCTATTGTTCCATAAATGCTTTCTGCAACATCGAACTCCATGAGGAGCATACATTCGCTTCAGCACCAAAAGATCTAATCTGGCTGGTTTTGGCATCGTTATCATAGTCGTATTTACTTCGTCTCTACAAACTACACACTTTTTATGGCTTGAGCCTGAAAATAAAATGTTTTCAATTGTTAATTGATCTTGATCTTGATCTTGATCTTGATCTTGATCTTGATCTTGATCTTCATGAACACTAGTGTCCATGGCATTAGAATCGTTTGTATTTTCATTTTCGCTTTGAACTCCTGTTCGCGTCTTTTCATTGCACAGATAGAACCAACATCGATTGCATAAACATATACTTTGGTCGGCATTCAAAGAAAAACCTTCTAAATAAAATAATGAATAACACCAATCATGAGTTTTAGCAGTAAGTTTTCGACAAGCTTTCCAATTCTTACAGCGAGTGCACTGTTTCTTCGGCATTTTCAGAAGTAAAACCAGCTATGGACAAGGTAATTATCACAATTAAAGAGAAATGAATAGTAAAACGAGGGACAATACAATAACAAAAAAAAGAAGACAAATATACACAGTCAAGAGAAGTAGAAAAAAATAAAGGAAAAAGAACAATGTTATAGCAAAGAAATAAGAAAAACAAAATTCTTAAGACAAAAAATAGTTCCAAAAAGAACGTTTGGGTTTAACACCAACAAGTGATTTGAACGTGAGTGATTATTAGCAAGTGATTAACCCGAAGAAGAACGCTATAGAATATACTATTATATCATATATCGTTTCAAAACAGTCTCATTGAATTTCTCCAATGAGATTTTATAACTAGAATTTAGCGATCTAGTTGTCAAGATTACGCATGAATTCTATGCGATTCTAGTGAAAGTAAGATTGTATTTCCACNACTAGAAATGGAATAGACTTCTTTTTCGACAAGTTTTTCAACATATACATTTTTGCACATGGCGACATCTGACGATAGTTACGCATAAAGTAGTCCGTTGGACTGTAAATTTAAAAATTGTTTTATTACTAAAAGAAAGCTGAATATATGAGTAAATTATTAAGAAAGTTTGAGCGATGTATTATTTTTTATTTTTGAGAAAACGTCAGAGAAAAATATCGTACATGTGTAATGTAGATATACCTGGATGGCGTTTCTTGCACTTTTTTCAATAGGAAGGAGTTTCGAAAAAAGCAAAAGTTATACAGAACGATAGAGTTTTTAATGCTGATTCTAAATATGTACTTAGAATTCTATTCATGATTTTCTATGCAAAAAAAAATTCAACATCAAGAGCCCATTTATGATTCCATGACCTGGTTATAGAGATAAAAGTCTATCTCGGCGAGTAAGAGTTCAAATAAAAAAATTGAAGCGCACAGATATGAGACAAGGTCTAATGTACAAAATAATGAAATCAAAACATAATTCTGAGGGGGGGGGCAAATTCGTGATCTTATCGTGCGAGGTCCTTTCGTCGCCTTCTCTTTAACCCGCCACCATATATTAATATCAAGATTCTACTCCTCACTGCACACGCTAGGGCAATGATCGAACTTGATTTTTTTATGGGAACAGCACAAATACATTAAGTGCATCAACAGGACTTGGGTACATTTCTTTACAGTCATAACCTATAATCAGATTCAAGTGCTAAAATATGAATACGAATAGATTCTTCAGGAAAACTATGAGTCCATGGCGTCAACAGTACATCATTTAAGATTTGAATTAATTATATTTACTCATGCATATTGAAACGAATAAAATTATTGATCTGCTAAATCAAATTTAAATAGTATAAAATAAAAAACAACTTATGACAGAAAGTTCATGTCTATGGAAAATAAATGTATTAATTGTGTTTTTATATCCACAAAAATTCGTTGAATCAAAATAAAGCAATTTACTTTAATGCGATCACTTCAATATGTTTTGGATTTTCTATACCAATTGATTTTGAAATATCTCTATAAATATTTGGATGATTATATCTAATAATTCTGAAATGTAACGCTTCTGATATACATTGAAACACATGATATTGATTAAAAATCATTTTGCATGTCACCCAGTAATTGTATTTAAAATCATTAAATAATCAAAATTTGATATTTTTATTGTCACACATCGGGATTTGAGTGTCAATGCGGAAATGAAAAAGACGAGTGCCCACACCCACACCTGTAATTTATTTTGTCCAAACTAGCGTCATCTGTAACATAATATTTAAAAAAAACTGCGTTATTTATTGATTACTATCTATTTTTCTTCCAATGATTATTTGATATGACTAAGTTCTTTTTTTTATAAATATTTTCATTATCATAAATAAATGATTTCAAATTATCTTCGTATTAGTTCTAGGTGTAAATATATTTTTACTGCAGCAATAACTGCTTTTTTGACAGTAAATTGTGTCTCCTCAGAAACAGATACTATTCTGTCAAGTCAATATGAATCTAAAATCGGATTAAAATTTCCCGAGTCAATCATTGATCTGGCATGTTTAGCAAACACTTTCCCATCACAATTTAAACAAGAAGAAGAAGATGAAAACAATACATGTTTGCCTCAAATAATAAAAAACTATACAGAAATCAAAGAAATTCCAAGTTTATTCTACGATGATATTGATCAATCATTCATTTCAAATACATATCCATCTTTAGGAATCAAAGGATTACATTTGAAAGTCTATGAAACAAAGGTATTTATCATGAAAAACAAAAAAAAGAAGTCAACTTTTTATTCGATTTATTTTTCCTATTCAGAAAATTGACCAACACAATAATCAATATGTGTTTATTGTTGTACGTCATCAAGAACATAATTCTATGTTAACAGATGAAATGAATGAAATGATGAGTTTATTTGGACCAGCAGCAACCGTTGATCGTCAACAAGGTAATAAAGAACTATTTGGTGCATCAACTGTTTCATCCATGATTCGTTTTATACGGCAACAACTTGGTCTTGATTATTTACCACAGGCGATTTCCATGTTTAATAAGATTCAATTACATTATAAAAATAAAGATAATATCAAATATATATTCAGTGGTTTTAGTTCAGGAGGTTTATATGCTATTGTATTAGCTTTATATTTTCAATGGCCTGCAATTACATTTTCATCTACAGGTGTTGAAGATATTATAAATATTTATTATTCCAATATATTCACCGATGATAATAATAAGCAATCTAAAATACCACCTATTTTTAATTTTGCTCATCAACTAGATAATATTCCTCAATTAGATTGTCAATTGGGTACTGTGTGTTTGTTTAAGACTGGCAATATTGAAAAAGAAAAAGAATTAACTGAAAAAGAAATGGAATCAATTCATTTAAGCACGATATTTGGTAAGTCTGGTCCAGATATTATACAATGGCTTCGCCAGCCGGAACGATGGACGTGTACAACATCGGATAATTACAATTCATTACATGGTAGTTGTAAACGAGAACGTTTGCGATGGAAAGATAGAATGAAACGAACAACTGACGAAAAGCAAGATTTGTGAATATTTATATTGAATAGTCAGGAAGAAAAAAAATAAATCTCAATTGATAACTGATAAAAGAATTCAAATTTTTTATGTTGAAACTTTAGTGATCAAACGGTCTACCATCGCCATAATTCCATGGAACTTTTCTTCGTAAATATAAACATATGTAACCTTGATACACCCAAAACTTTCTCACATGTATTTTTCCTTTTCCATCAATTGATTGAATCAAATTTACTTCGAATAACAAATTAGTTCGATATTGTATGTTTAGCAAACGACATAGCTATTATTGAACAATAGTTGCTATTAATTGTGGTTATTCTATTAATAGACGATCGCAATGTAAACATATCTACAACACGCACAAAGATGTGTGTACAATTGTTCGACCTTGTTCATGATGAATATCATTACGTAGAGACATATTCTATTTCTACACATCAGAAAAATAGGGCAGTTAATATTGCATTCACTTTAAACGACAGCAGGCGAAGAAGAAGAAGAAGAAGAAGAAGAAGCAAAAGAAGCAGAAGAAATCACAAATTACACATTTCTTCCATCGAGCATGAGATATCCGAAGAAAAAGAAAAGAAAGAAGGCTAAAGCCTATGAATGTTGGTATCATTCATGTATTTTCCTTCTTTTTTTTTCCGCTTTCTACATTTAGTTGATGACGACTCGTCTCATAGCGAGAAAATCAACACACATAACACAATGTTCCTTCTTTGTTGATTCACTATTCATCACTAATCTTTTGATTTGAACCATTTAGAAACTTTTCTTTTCAATAGAAACAAAATCATGGTACTACGTGTCTATTTTGTTTCAACAACAGGCCGTCGTGATATACGTAAAGGACAGATTCATGTATTTTCAGTACTCAGTTCATGGAAATATAATTATACAGCAATTGATATAGCTGCACCAGAAAATGAAAATGAACGAAATTTTGTTATTGATACTGGTAAAAAATCTGAAGATGGTAAAGTTGTTCTACCACAAATATTTCAAGAAGAAAAATGCTGTGGAGATTATTTGGATTTTCTAAATGCAATTGAACTCGAAAAATTACAAACATTTCTCAGAGAATTAAATGAACAAGATCTTACTGCAATGAAACAACAAGAACAAATATCAAATGAAGAAACTATGAAAGGTAAATTTATTCGTCGAGAAATGAATTGCTTTCGATGTCAGAGTGTTTTATTCATAGATAATTTTCATAGATCTAACTCTGTAGTCTTAGAAAATATCAAAAGTCAGATTTTTACAGCTTATTTAGTTCCCACTAATCTTACAAAACGTACCACAGTCAATTAATTTTGCTATGTGATAAGATAACAAAGATATATACTGCCTTCTGGCGCATTACTGTATCTCGATCAACAAGCGACTCTCGCGAGAAAATTCTTGTTGAAAGTTTAAAGCAGATCTGTATTTCAGTTTTGTGGATCCTACTTAGTTTCATTATTTCGTTTATATATTTTTTCAGTATCTATTTTTTTTTAGATACCCACAACGAAGCAAAACTAACTCAGGAAAATTAAATTAATTCAGAAAAGAAATGACCAATTATTACAAGCATGAAAAGTTTTGAAATGAAACAATATAAACTGCATGTCGCCATGATTATAATAGTTTATAAATATCATTTCTAAAAATCTTTTCATGTCATTTAAATATGAGTACCTGCGTTTTTAGTTTGGCTATAAGCCTCATATTGTTTTTATTATTTCTTTTCTTGACTAAAACTTTATATTATTATTGTCAACTGTTTCTTCAGTTCGATATTTACGTAGTTAAATTGCTTTCATATGTTATTGTATGTATAATTTATTGACTAAATTGAAATTAAGATATAATACTTCTATGATTATATTTATCGATAATTATACAAGTAATACTTTTGATTATTGAAAGCAATTGATAGTGATCGAGAAAAAATCATTTGTCAACGAAATTAGCTATTGATTTCGTAGTGTAATCTATCCTGATAGACCAGTTACATATATAATAATAATGCAGATGTTGCGGTCATACATGCAGCGATCGGACACCATCTTCCAGTAGTCAGGGAGAAGTTCAATATATCTGATGGTGCCTGATGATACATATTTATCTACCCTATACATCGAAACAATGTATTCATTTATTTATCTTTATTTTATCATTTGAAAGATCGGTATGAGTGATTTTCATCGGAAATTTAGAATATTTATAAAAAATTCCTCAGCTAAGATCTTTTACACTCCACATTCACACCCCGAAGCTGTGACTATTATCGAATAATCGCATGCTGATGGAATCAAACCGGGTTTATAAACAATTTTCAATGAATGAAAATGACGCTTTTATCTTATGAAATATAATTCATAACTAAAAAATAATAATCGAATTATTTCAAATGAATTGAAATACTTCGAACTTTTTCTTCAATTTCCATAACATCAGGATCTTCCGGCGATAAAGTACATCGATAGATAATAGCAGATTTTTTAAAACATAACAACGATTGTTTTAAGTCACCTTTATCTTGATAAACTAAGCCAATATTTCGCAGGGTTTTAGCAATATCAGAATATGAACAACAAAGAGATTTTTTATAGATTTCTAATGCGTTTTGATAATGTTCTATTGCTTGATCATAGTGGCCAAGATGTCGGTGAATAACACCAATATTATTATGTGATGCACCTAAATCAGAATGATTAGCTATTCGATATTTTTCCAAAATAATCAATGCTTTCTCGTGATATTCAAGTGCTTTGATATACTTTGTCTCTCGTTTATATGCAATTGCTAGATTATTGAAACATATTGCTAGCTTTGGATGGTCTTCACCGAAGTTTTTTATGAAAATCATCAATGCTTTCTTATAAGATTCAATAGCTCGTTTAGTGTCACCATTGTTTTGATGAATTTCTGCAATATTATCATAGCTTTCAATTAAATTCGCATCATTTTCTGTTTTGATTTTAATTGATTTATTAAACCATTGCAAACTTGATTCATAATCATGTTTATGTTTTGTAACTCTGCCAAGCGTATTATAACATTGAATAATATCATCGGGATGACAAGAAAGTTCATCAATTAAACGTCGATAATAATTTTCAGCTTCATCCACATAATTTTCTTTAATAAGAAATTCACCGAATGAAAATAAATTTCTTTCTTGACCATAATTATATTCATTTTTTAGAATATTAAAAATTGACTTTAAATTATCATCGTCATTTTCTTTACATAATTTCATTTGAATAATCCAAATTTCATCGTCATTCAGAGAAATATTTTCAATTTGAAATATTGAACCTAACATAAAAATGATTTGTTCATTTTCTTCATAGTAATCAATTAGTTTCATATAACCACAACTATTTTCATCATTCAATCGCAGATCTACATTAATCTCAAATAAAACTCGTTGAAGTTCATTGGGCTCATAAAGATGAAATAACGCTAAACCACGATCGAGACATGTCGAAAGAAATGTATTAATCGAGATAAATTGTCCTACGGAATTTTCAATTAATTGTATTTCTTCGTATGTCATTAAATGGCTATGATAAACATGTATAGGATATGAGCATTTATTTTGTTTGATTTGATGAGACATATCTTGAATAAAAAATCTTAATGTCAATAATAGATCAATATTTTGTATTAGAAGAGCTTTATTTAGTATTTGATAAATAAACGACTTTCTTGTGTACCATGATAAAGATTGACTTGGTGAATAATTGCTTTCAAAATTATGAATTATATCTAATTCGTATTCATTTTTACATAATGATATAAATTTATTTTTATTGCTTGAATTCATTCGAAGAAGACAATCGAATAGTAATTGAGAATGTATAAAATGAAAATGTAATTCATTTGTTTTATAGATAACAACGGGAAATGAATCATCGATTCTATGATCTGTTTGAATTCGTGTTACGAGTATATCAAGTTGAGCGCTTACACATTTTATCTAAAAAATCTATTGTAATAATAATTGATGTTTAATATTAAAAAATTCTCAATACCTTTAGATACTGTTGAGACCATGGTAAATTTGTTTGTTTATCTAAACAGTGAATATAAATCGAGTAGACTTGTTGAAGTTGTTGAATGCGAGGAATTATTTGTCGAGCTAATTCATCATTGATAATAATAATAAATCGATTGCATGTACTATTAGCTGATCGAATATATTCTTCGCATTCATAAGAATTTTCAAATATATTTAAATGGTTTATTGACGATCGAAGTTTTTTCTGAGCTTTGACAATTTCTTCACTATCATGAAATGATGGATTGAGCCAAATAAGAGAATATATTTCAAGGCTAGAATCATCTTGAGGTTTCTTGTGAGATGCACCCATTGTTATCAAAATAAAGGAAAGTCAAACTGATAAAGATACTCTTTCGACTTTTAGACTTTTATCTTGACTGGAAAATGAATTTATATATAAAGTAAAAAAAATTAAAAAAAGATAAGCAGTCGAGTTGTACCAATTCCAACATGAAGATTATAATTAAAACTACTTCAATGTCTTTGAAAACTATGTTCTTTAAGATATGCTAAATCATACAAAACTGGGAACAGAAAAAAGATTACATGCAATCTATACTTCCTTCTTTTCCAAGCAAACGTCAATAGCAGATGTGATATTTTTCAGTCCTTGTATGAGTTCATCATGTGTTGATGGCCAGCCGTAGCCAATTCGCATGAATTTTTTGTTCATTTCAAACCAATGTCCTGGCCCAACAAATGTTTTAAATGTATTATTTAGTACATTGTAGAATTCTTCCGGATCTATATCGACTTTTATTCTCGGAAAACATACAACACCGCCTTGTGGTTCTACCCATTCGAGATATTGATTTGGTTCATTTATCCATTGTTTCATAATATTAAATCGAACTTGTATTTCTTCTAGAATAACTGATAAGTGCTTCTCACGATTTAACATATACTGATAAGCAATTTCTTCATCAACAACAGAACCACAAATCATAATTTGTTCTTTAGCGGCTAAGAATTTTCTCATCAGTCTTCTATCTTGACAAATTAACCATCCGATTCGAATTCCTGGTAGACCATATGTTTTTGATAGGGACGAAACAGATATAACATGTGATCCAAGAGAAGCTGCGACAGGTAATCGATTTTTAAATGTCATATCACGATAGGTTTCATCAACAAGTAGACTTATGCCTTTATCTTTCGTAAGTGCAACAATTTTATCGAGATCAGTACGTGATATAACAGTGCCTGTTGGATTATTAGGTACAGTTATACTCAATAGTTTTGTTTCATTGGACTTAACTTGTGTTTCTATTGCTTCAGTTGATAAACAAAATCCATTTTCGAATTCTAATTCAATAAAATCAATATGCGCGCCAATAGCACGTGGTGTTTCAATATTTGTAGCATAGTTAGGACGTTCAACTAGTATTCGATCATTTTTCCCGAGTAAACTAGTTGAAACAATAAATAGAGCAGCTGCTGCACCTGTTGTAAGTAAAACATCATCTACGTGTACACCGGCATCTTTGGCAATTAATTCGCGTAGCTTTTGATGGCCAATATGGTCTCCATAAGCGATAATAAGTTCCTGTAAATTGATATTTAAATCGCCAAGTTTCATGTCTGTTACTGAACTTTCAGTTAAATTAAATTTTAAATTTTCGTAACCCATTTGTTCAGGTGATTCTATTTCAATAGGCATTCGTACGTAATTCATCTTAATAGATACTCTTTTATTCCAATCTAGAAAAAGCAAAACTTCATAATTTACAATATGAACAATTAGAATTACTGTGCAGTTAAAATATATTCTTTGTAGTATGTAAAGTTTCAACATGTAACCTATTATCTTTTTTCTTCTCACTCATTCTTCACATTGATGTGAGGCTATAGAGAAGAAAATGAAGAAGAAAAAACGCTATCACATTCTGTTTGCGTAATAATAACGTTAGAAAAGGTTGCCACACGGCAAACATGCCCATGATGATGTAGAAGATGTTTAAAAATATACTATTGGGGTAACGTTTTTATTTATGAAAGTTGCGAGACTATACGAATCAACAACCGCTGTTGAGTTTCTACAAGACTGAGGGCTACACATAGTAAAACTAATGAACTCAATCTATGCCAGTTTAGTACAATGCTGGTTTGATAACTATAAAGAATTAGATCACCGTGAATATGAAGATAACAATTCATCCTTTAAACAAAAGCTTCTATATTTCTATAAAAAACAATATCCTACACCTTATGTTTAGTTCTTTTATATCGTGTTATGCAACAAAATCAAAAGTAGCTTTTCAACAATGTAAACCCGATATTTGCCTTCCGCGCAATATTATGAAATTTGATCAAGAATTACAAGTTCATATATGCAAGCGGGAATACTATTTCTACCTTCAACATGTTCAATTATCACACTCATACCATTTAAATAAACGCTTTTAATCGTAACGGAAAACGACTATCCATAGGCATCTTCGGGGCTTTGTTTTTGTCTGCTACTAGTTTCTTCTGTTTCACTTGAATGACTGCCGTTGTCAGACTAAATGCACATTTCAGACATCGTCTGTTTATTATGAAAAATAAAGAATATTAGAAAAATTAGTTGCAGTTCTACATAGTTAACACGCGCTATTATGTTACAAATTTATTTTGTAGCATACTAATTATTATTGCAGATGCACAGTTCATTCACAGTTGTCAATTTGACATATTTGACATCTTTATGCTAGTAGATTGTGATTGTTGAGAAGGTTTCCTTAAGATGTTTACTTGATTATTCATTTTGTTATAAAGATATCTTATCAAACGTTGAAAATAATCAGCTTCTTTTTCTGCCGTATCTAGTTTATTTCATACATATAACAATATTGAGACAATACACATCATTCCAAAGGCCACAAATAATCCAGCCAATGATTCAAGATTAATATCATTAGGTATGCCAGATGAGCAAGAGCAACATTGACTTTTAAACCATTTTACTTGCAAATTATCTAGATTACTGGATTATTTTAATGATAAAATATTAACATCTAAACCTTGTCCATAGAACCATTGTTTAGGTGTAACCATGGCAAGTGATCCTTTTTCAAAACTTTCACCAACCAATGTTAAACTACAATCTATATTATTCGTTACATATTCTGCACCACCGGCATCATGAAAACCCGCATCAATTCTATAATTTAATAAACTATCATATAATTTTTCTCGAAATTTTAATGGATAAAGCTTTCTGCTACCACCAGAGACTTCTCTTAAATAGTAGTGTTCGATAGCAGAACCTATGATAATACCGATACGATTGGATGGTATCTTTCCCACTTTTAATATTGTTAAATCAGATGCTAAGTTTGTAGTATATGATGCAATCAATACTATACTTAGCATATATAAACCAACACGTCTAGGCCCTGCGATAACACGAAAAATGGTCTCATAAATGAGAATAGATTGATATTAACATCGGGATTTTTTCTCATTATGATCCTTAATGAGTTATCCAAAATTGAATTCGAAAAACCAACTTTTTGTCTTCTTGTCGCAGTCACTGCCACATCGCCTATGACTAGATCATAAGTACCATCTTCTATTGCTTGCGCTAATGAAGCATATGTTTGATTTATTGGTACTAATTCAATATTTGGAATAAATTTCAATCGGCTTTGTAAAATATCAATAAGATCAGGTACATAACCAATCAACGTACTTGTACTTTGTCCAGATCCATTAATAACATTTTTAATCATTCTGAATGGAACTGCTTCAATTACACCAATTCGTAATTTGACACCTTCACGTTTTTGCACCACCAGTAGATGGCACTAATAAATTTCCTGGCCAAACTATTACATTAGATCCTGAATATTCTTGCCAACCATAATTATCCGAATAATTCAATGCGGACACAAAAATCGTAGTGTCTAATAAAAGCTGAGAGTTTTGTGCGAAATAATAACTACCATCTATTCGATCTGTAACATTCGTATCAAATTGTATACGACCAGATACGTCTAGAAATGTTATATTATTAATTTTATCGAATAATTCTTTAGATTTGAGAAAATAACGATCAAAACAGAACGAAGCATTTCTAAAGGATAGACATGAAGAAAAAGGAGAACTATACTACTACTAATATCTGAACATCATTTTTGTAATGATTGAATTAATAATCAAGTTGCATTAAATGTAAATAATGCGTAATAATCGACGTTGTTTGAACTGGGAAATGTTTCAGGTTCATACTGTTTCCAAATATCATGTGCTGCATTTAATAATTGTTGCTATTGTTGGCTCAACAGTAAGCATTCCAATTAATTTTGGATAGAATTTTTCACCAAAAACTGTTAAAGAAACACTCGAACTTAATATCCATATAAAATTTGGGCCAAGTAAGTTAGAATCAAGTGCATTTTTTTAAATTAAAAATACAGACGTTGATACAGCCCATAATACAATAATTCGCGTTGAACTAGTAGTTAAATCATGCTTCAAAATATCTCTCATACGAAGTGTTGCTATATCGAACACGAGCATATTTGCAACTGTCAAATCGTTATGAATCAATGCGTCTGTTATTACTTTTGCTCCGCCAGATCCATATGCATCATTCTGATAGATTCTTATGCATGAAGTTCAATTGAATCGAGTAAATAATTTTACAACGGCTAATTCAGATGCACTGTCAGAAGGAACTGTACGATAGAATGCAGGATAAGCATTTCGATTAGATAAACTAGGATCAGTTGCAGCGTATGATACAACTGGAATACCTAGTTTTTCGCCGAAACCTGCAATAAATGGAGTTTGGCTGGATAAAGCTGGGCCCAACGTTAGAATCTGATGCTGCTTGACATGTAATAGCAAGAGTGTTCCTTGATTTACTACCAGTGTCTACAGTTTGCCATGTTATAGGTTCTTCTTCAATTCTTATATTGTACTGTTGAGAAAGTATGATTGCTGCCTTGAACATAGCGAGAGAATGAGACGAAAATTCGACTGATTCAGATCAAGGGCGGAAACGCTGATTTAAATCAACTAAAAATCAAAATTAAATCAAATAAATCATTTTAACTCACAAAATCATAAATCAGCGTTTCCTCCTTGCTGTTAAATCTCCGTTTCATTTATCCTATGATTGATTATTTGCTTATTACAGAATTTTAAAATGAAAAACGTCACACAATGTTGATTGAATGGAGAATGCAAATCAAAGAGCTCATATCAATCTTTTCTTTTTTATTAAGCTTGTCAGTTGAGACTTGATATTTCCATATACGCATATTCGGCTGAACGTTTTATTCTTACAAAACAATTTTCTAGACTATCTGAACAAAAAATTCGAAAAAATGCTGAAGAAGCTTTATCTATCTAAGTTTATCAATCAAAATAACAATAACATACTAAATAAGCAGAAAGATGGATCAGTGAATTTTATATTGTGAAATTATTGAGGTGTGGGTGTGAACGATACAAGAAGAAACTCACACCCACACCCCACAAATGTAGATAAAATTTGTTTGCTTTCGTGATATTACTTAATTGCAAGGTAACCATTGTTAAAACGAAACAAATGGCTTTTAATATACACTGCGAATGTCCATCTGCTTTTATTCTGTTTCTTCTTTTCTGAAGTCGAATTTCCTTCAAATTCATTATAGTCGCAACACACAATAGAGATAATATATTTTAATATTTCTATAATATCGTATTTGAATTCGCACAAATTCCATTTTGTTAACCAGTAGTAGTTCAAAATTTAGGAGTGTCTGTGAACGTTGTATTCGTTTTATTTCTTAGTAAATGTATAAGCAACAAAAACAATACCGATACTGAACAAATTATAGAATTAGTTTGACTTTTTGCAACAGACGACAAGCATTTAAGTATCAAAGAAAAACTAATGAAGTATACTATGAATATGTTTTGTTTGAATTTTAGGTGGACTTAATAACGAAAATGATAGGCTCTGATAGAATTCATATAAATAAGAATAGAATATATTCAACAAAACAAGTTTAAAAAAAACAACTACATCAATATTAAAACTAAATGATAATTATTTATCCTCTTTTATTACTGTAGTGGCCGATGTTCGCGTTTTCTTTTTCAGTGATTTTTTTGTTTTTTTTATTTTTGTTTGTTGCTCATCTAAGATAGAAAAAAATGAATGATAATTATTATAATATGTCTTATAGATGTGAAAAAACTCTTACCATCCAACAATGGCGATCGTGCTACTCCATTCGATTGCCCATTGTAATTCGTCGCATTTGAAGTTATATTTAATGAATCAATAGCTTCCGAATCATTTGGCTCATTGGCATTAGTCACTAAATTTGAAATAGGCGAAGCCATCTCATGTGGACCAATTGGTGACATTGAAAATCTTGGATGCATCATGAATAGATTAGGTGGTGGATGCGGCATAAATGGAGGTGGATAAAATGGAGGCCCAGATAGATTAAAGATAGGTGGCCCTTGAGAAAATATAGTAAGTAGCATAACGACCCATTTAAGAAGAAAAAACTAGACTATTTACTAGGCATGAACATTTCGGTTGGACTAGTACCACCAGAATCACTACGTTGATGATCGATGGGTCTGAAACTAAAATGACAGAAATTTAAATGATATTCTCTGTTGCAAAGATTCTTGTTATTACTTTTCTTCCTGTTGATCACTTATAGGTGAAATATTTTGTGATTCTATAGCATCTAACGTTAACAGAAAAATTGACATGTATTCATCCTGCTATTATTCACTTACAATTATTTCCTATATGTTTGAGTGGTGGTTTTAGCGTAGATTTTTCTTTTGAAGAACGGGCATCCTTTGAATACTTAGTAATCCTATACAAAAAGAAAAAAGAAACCATGAAGTTTAAATAGCATTCAGTAAAACCTACTGTCGTCGTAGATTTTCGCATTCTTTTTTCGACGCTTCAAGTTCTCGTGTTAGACGTTTAATTTCCATCCATTTTTCATGTGTTTCATGTTGTAATTTACTAGATTCTTCGTTAAACTTCATTTGTTCAGTTGAAAGAGTTTTTTGTACATCATCTAATTGTTGTCTAAAGTTTACGTAGGAAAATATTATTGTTGTTAAATTCAAAATAAATTTTTTACTGTCGAAGTTCAAGTTGCTGTTGTAAAATATGAACACGTTCAGTATCGGTTCTTGCTTTACGTAATTGTCCATCTATTTGTCCGAATTGACGTACATGTAAATGGGTGTCACGCTCACGTAGTTCTAATACAATTTTAAGTTTAGTTTCAACTTCTTTACAACGTTCTTTTTCTTGATTGAGCAATAGCTCAAGTTCTTTTAGACGATGAGTTTTCATGTTGATATCATTATGTAAATCATGTATGCGTTGATTAGATTTTTTTGCATCACTATCAATTGTTGAGAGAAGATTTTGATTATTAGTCAAAGAATTGTCTTTTACAATAGCACGCAAATCTTCTAATTCTAAAAGAAAATAATTTTTAAACGCATTTTTGAAATAAACCGTTTTTTTTTAAACCTATTTTTTTATCTTTGCTAAGTTTATCTTGAATATATTTTATGGTTTGATCATGTCGCTCGAATAGATCTTTCATTTGTTTCATTCGAAGAATTAATTCACTGGTTTCAACATCTCGTTGATTCGCGTGTTCTTTCATTTCTTGTGATTGATCATTTTGATTTAGTTTATCTTTTTTCAATTGAACGATTTCTGATTTCAACTGTTGAATGGTTTCTTGTAATTTTCCAAAACGTTCTATGGAGAGATCTTTGCATTGTAAGTGCACTACAGTTTCTTGCTCTCGTTCTAAATCTCGTTTTAATTGAGCAATCTAACATAAAAAAAAACAATCGGATTGAGTGTTTTCAATTTATGTCAAGAAAAATAAACGATAGTTTTCATATCTTCAGTCGATGAGTTCATTTGAACATGTGATCCAGTACACAAAAAGAAATAATGATAAAAGGTATTGGAGAGAAGATGCACAACTAGATTCATATACATTTCTAGATGCTTCAAAAATGTTTTACTTGACTTCAACTTTTTGATGTGTCGAACTTTCTTGTAGTTTATTGTTTCCGTGAGACTACTGAGAGTGCAAAAGGACTCAGATCTCTGCTCGACTCATGATTATTTTTTTTTAATTTTCGACTTGATATGAGCGTTCCTGTAATCGAGAATTTTCATTACACGATTATTACTCAAGACAGACGAAGCAATGGTACAAAACAATAAAAATATCCGCTAACATCTGTCTGTACCAACCATTTACTCGTTACACGTTTGCTTATTCACTTTGGAATGGTCTCTCATCTAATCTCTTTAGTCTAGAAGTAATCAGATATCTTATTTATCTGAAAAATTCTATATTTATCAATCACATGAGAACCCATAGAAAATCTCAATGAACAATATTATCTTCATAGAATTATATTCTTATTCTAGCAATCTCTATTAAAATTTTCATAATAAATCTTCATTTTTGCGTTTAATATTACCTCGTGATTTAAATGTGTAATTGTTTTTGCTTGTTGTTGCGCATCAAACTCATATTTGTGTATGAGATTTTGCTTATAATCAATATCCTGTTGTGAAACCAGTTGTTTAGCATGAGCCATTTTCACGTCTTCTTGAAATCGAATACATTCTTCACGCAGTGCAAAAATATCTTCATCTGAATTATGTTCCTGTAACTTTTTTTTTAATTCATCTATTTCATCTGACAATCTAAATTTGAAGCAATTTAAAAGTAGAAATTTTCTTTTTCTCTATATTTTACTTTTGATTTTGTCGTTCAAATGCTTCACTTTCAAGTAAAACACGATTGTTATAGTGTTGCAGTTGTTGGCAACTAGCACGAATTTGTTTTTCATGTTTTGTTTGTTTTAAACGATTTGTACCCATTGCAAGAAAAACAATACTAAATAAAAAACACATCGCGCAAATCGATGTAAACCATAGTGTATTTATTAAAATTTCACGATCATCACTATGTCCAAATAGAATTGTTTGTAGAAATTTTGGTAACTAGAAAACAATAATAATAATAATAATTAATATTTACTACAAAAAGAAACAAACAACGATATTCATACAATATTAGTAAAGCGAAATATTTGATTTTCTAGCAATTCAACACTTGTTTCAAATGGTTTAGGTAAATGCCAACAGACTTGTGTCGCTTTTTGTGTTAATATTTTAGTAGTACTATTCGATATTGACGTTGAATTTTGTATTTGCTCAGTTTGAGATAAATGTCGATTTGTAAAATTATTTGTCTGTGTTTCATTGTCAATAGTACTATCAGTTGGTGTCGATTGTAAATGCAATTTGCTTTCAGATTCTTCTAATTTCGATAAGAATGTAGTGGAATGTTTATGTTCATCAGTCGATTGTTGAACAGTCGCGTTGTCTGAATGATTATTATCTAATAGAAAATGAATTTAGAATAAGTTGATACTCAATGTGAATTGTCATCAATTATATCTGTATTTAGTAAGCAATGAGAATCGATTTTAATATAGAAATTATATGAATAGTTTTTGTTTTGTTGGTTCGAGTCAGAAGGGAGACCAGAACAATAATCATGCGGAAAAAAATGAGCGTATGAAGTTTATTGAAAAACTGATCAATACATGTGAGAGTTTGACAGGGTAAATTATTACAAAATGATGTGTATAATTTTCAATTATGCTGGGTGGAAAAATTCAATTGCATTTCAATAAGAGTTTTCAAGAAAAAGCAATCTATCGAAATTAGTTGTTTTCCACTTCAGATTACAAGTTCACTAGACATCATCGATACTCTTGCATCGGTTTTCTCACTGCCATAATTGGAGTTTATTTTACATGAATTTTATGAGCATCGCCGTATCAATTACGGAGTTTGGTAAAAAAAAATAATAATAATAATTGACAAGATATTATCAAGAGTTATGGTTGACTTGTTTTCAAAACTAGAAATACAAGTTTTTTTTTAGGGAATGAACAAAACGATCATATTTTTCCTCAGCCTATAAATTTATAGAAATATTCTGTATGCTTTTGCTTGTCTAGAAGGTTATTGGAAGACATTTAAAAAAAATTTTTTCTATATTAATTTTACCTGTTTTCGAACTATTCTCGATTTGTTGTTGACTTATTTGAGCCTGTGAAGAATTTCTATGTACTCTTTGATGAAGTTTTGATGATGCTGAAAGTAAAATTTGTGATGTTGTTGATACTGGACCATGAGACTCGTTTTGTACAGTTGAATTATCGTTGATTATTGGTTGTAATGGAATTTGTGAATTTTGATCTAATTTAATATCATTTGAGTTACTATTTTCTAGTGACGGTTGTATTGTTGAAGACGGCGGAATGTGATTTGGTGCTAATTGTATTTGTTCTTCTGGACCAATAGATAAATTATCATCATCTACATCATCTTGTTTGATAGTATCGATTATTTGTGAACTAATTTGATTTTCTCGTTGAGACAACTCATCTTGATGAATCACTTTTGGATTGTATTTATCATTTGATGGTATTGGAATGTTTTTTACTGTATCATTATCTATTGGTGCTTTCAATTGTTCTTCATTTTGTGTTACTATCGATTTCGGCAGAGATATTGAATCATTGTCAAGTGGTAGCGGTACTCGGTTTTCCATTGAAATATCTACAGATGGAGTTGTAGATTCGACTGTTTCAAGTTCTGGCTTTCTTGAATCATAACGAGTGTCGACTGCATCATTCAGATTTTCATTATCATTTCTTTCAATATTTTTCGTTTCTATGAAATTTCAAATAGATTTTTTTCATTAAAATAACATTCTCAAACTAACCATCAACTTGACTATGACTATCGTTAATCACAGGCGACTCTGGTTGATTGGCAATCACTTGTTCTGCGTGACTTAGATCATGACAATAGCAAAAATAGTTTAATAGAAAATACTGTATTAATACAATGCATAACCTCATCTAAATTAATAAAAGTTTTGGATTATAGAAATATAAAATTGGTTTTTGAAACCGAAGCAAAAAACGCAAGAAAGCAGAAAAACATTTGACGCTGGCTGGCAAATGATGACATTTGCTATACATCCATTCTGTTAGAAAGGTATTTAAAAGCATCCAATAAGAAAAAGTGTCACGCATATATTGTGTAAATTAAGTTTTTGAAAGGAAGACAACGAAATGATTGAATCAATAGTCAATATCATAAAATTGCATCGTATATATATAGACTATTGATATCATTACGATCAAGAAAAAATTAATTATTTCTGTACTACCTAAGACTATATGATTAATTTTCTTTCTCATAAGGAAATTGTTTATGAACGCTGCTGTCAACATGTCGACACTCAATTCAACGTTGTGTAGAATTCTGTTTGACAGGTTTGGAAAGAAATTTAAAATAGCTCTTGCACATTTTCCTTGTCGAATGAGAACGAGATAAATCAAGATAATTATTATTCAAAATGATATATATGAAAATATAAAATGCTCAAAATTATGTTCATCGAAAGTCTTTGAGAGTCAGTGTTTTCAATGGTAAGTGTACCAAGCAGAAACAAAATTTACCGAATATCTCTACTAATTTTGATTTACACTTTGATCTCTGAACCTTAAAAACTGCATATAGTATTAAATAAATTATATTTTGCTTTTTAGATTGTGAAAATTTCTTTTTTGTACACTTTGCTCACAAAATACAGAGTGTACTGTACATTTTGTCTTAGATTTCCATTGGAAACACTGTTGAGAGTATGCGTGTCAGAGAATAGAAAACTCATATTCTTATAATTATTACGATAGAAGAAAAGCTATTACCCTAAATTACAGAATGAAAGAGACGATCGAGTGTATGCGTCAGGAAAAAAGAATGCACGCATAAATTAATCTGGTTTATGTTATTTCATATTAGTGTAGAACATATTACGTAGTCGTATTAAATTGAATCTCGAAAATGCATATATGTCAAACTTGAAACTTGAATTCAATTGAAAATATTTCAATTTTCAACTTTTAAACCATTAGCATTCTGAAGAATCATGATTCACACATATACCGCTGTGAGTTGAAAGTTGAAATTTTCTATTTTCAACTGAATTTAAATTTCAAGCTTGACACTACTGCGAAAATGCAAAGAAGTGTTGATTAACAATTTTCTTATTAAGTAAGAAAACGACATGAAACTGAACACACTTCTATTATTAATTTTAAAAAAAAGATCAGATGAATACCATAGAAGTATTTATAATCCTCTCCCTTTCTTTGTATATCTATATGCACATACGTATATAAAGAAATCGATTATGGTATAGCAATAGAATCAATTGTTTTACTAATCCAAAATAAAACTTTAATAACAGATGAATAAATGTAACCATATTATTCTAACATGAAAATTCTAATACAACACTTGATTGAATATATGTTACATCTAATATTTTTAATACTAAACTATGTTCTTTTTTCTATTTCATATGGTAACACGTATTGTAAAAATCGGAGGTGCATCCATAACAGATAAAGCTCAGTTTGAACATGTTAATTTGCCAAATATTGATTTTATCGTTGACTTATTTAAAAACAACTATAAAAATTTAATTTTAATTCATGGTGCTGGATCATTTGGGTACTCGAAAAATTTTTCTAAAACATTCTAAACGTCGGTTTCTATCTTATTTAGTCATCATCAAGCTAAAAAATATAAATTAAATGAAGGCTATAAAAATACTTATAATTATGAAGAATGTCGTTTGGGTGTTTGTGATACTCGACGATCATTAGGTCGTTTACAACAATATTTATTGGATGCATTCCTTGGTGCTCAAATCCCTGTTGTTAGAATTTCACCATTTGATTTTCTTATTTCGGATCAATTTGAATTAACAGATGAAAATTATAAACAACTTTATCAACGTTTAGATATTCTACTATCAAATGGTTATGTTCCACTTTTGCATGGTGATGTTTTATTGGATAAAAAAACTCATTGGAGAATATTAAGTGGGGATGATATTTTACTTAAATTAGCGGAATATTATCAACCACGTCAATGCATATTTCTAACTTCAGTACCTGGTATTCTTCAATCTAATGGAAATGTTATTGAAGAATTCTATGTTGGTGAAAGTAAAATCGATGAACTCGATCATCAATCATCAATTATTGATGTCACAGGATCAATGCAAAATAAAGTGATGATTGCTTGTGCTATTGTTAACAAACTAGATACATGTCAAGTATTTATTGTACAAGGTGTTAGTAAAAATGCAAAACATCTTCTTTCATCATCAATAAACGATGATGAAGAATTTATTTTAAATGGAAGTACAAGAATTTTGAAGAAACATTAATTGACGAGAGAAATTTGCATTTCTGTAATGAATATTGCTCAATGAATTTTTTGTATTCGTAGAAAAATATGAAAAGGTTGTTGTCGGCGGAGAAGAAAATTAGTTCTTTGATTTAATTTGCTCGTCATTTGCTAACAAGACTATTCAGTGATCTTTTGCTAAAACAATCAATGAGTAATCATGTTCTTGCTTGCCTCCAAAATAATATCAATCATAAATCATAGTCATTTGTTTTACTCTTTATTGAGAGGAACAGTTGTATGATCTAATGAGTATATTTCCTTTTGAAGATACTCTTCTAGACTCTCCAAGGAATCGTTTCGGTTTCCGGAAGGTCTTTTTCTTACTAAAAACAAGAATATTTAACTGAAAACTAATATCTAAATCAAAAAAAAAGGAAAACTGTTATTTTACTCCACACATGATTATCTGTTATATGGATAGGAAGACATATTTAAATAGCATACTCTATTTGAATCGTTGAGCTGAGCGAGACAACATATTTATTTAATTAAAAGTTCATGTATAATTGATGTACTAAATGATTGTCTTATCTTTCCTACTTCATCGAGAATATAAGTGAAGAATACTCTTGAAATTTCCGCTTGAATGAATCGGCATTTGACAAGTATGGAATTTAGTTATAATGGTCAAAAATCCACATAACTTATTTTCCTTTCCTCCATACAATGAACGAGAAAAAGAAAATCTAACTATGCGTCAATTTTCCTTGACCACTGTTATAATCGATCATGCATATATCTTTTCAAATTATTATTATTCTCTTTTTTTTGTTCTCATTTAATTTATTACATGAGCTTTCAAATAGTGTTAGGTCGTTCTCATGTACATATTCTATCATGAGACATGCATGTAAAGGAAATCATCTCATGGGTACATATACCGTTTTATTCTCTCTCTCTCTCTCTCTCTCTCTCTCTCTCTTTTTGTCCTTAGTTCTATAGAGTTCAACGCATTTTTTTCTGTTGATTGATTTGCTATTTTTTTCCTATTATATACATCATATAAATATAATATAAATTTAGTTCAAATGAAAAAAAGATCGAGAGTCATTTTAACGACATTCTCACCTCGCTTCCCCCTTGACCATATATATATATATATGTGTGTGTGTGTATGTGTGTAATAACTTAACAGAACAGTACGACAATTGAACAAATTGAATTGAACATCGAGTCAAGACGCTACTTGAGCATGCTTTGATATAACAAATTTTCAATTTGACGGTATGTTGATATGGTCCGTATGTTGTCGAGAGTGTAATTTGTTTTCTTTCTCACTTCTTATTATACATCTAATAAAACGTATCGAAGAAAGCAGACACTCGTCTCTAATTTCAATAGACGTCGAAGATTAAAAGAGAGTATACGAAATTGTTTGACCGTTTGATGCTGTACCAATAATTATTTTCTTTTATTTTCTCCGCCTACCTAATGGATCATTGAAAAGAAAAGGAATCAGTAACAATGTTATAAGGTTATTTATTACACGCACACATATATTTATATATTTATATGCATATGCCTTGCCAGGGGTGAAAACGACATCATGTTCAGCATTGTTTTCATTAATAAGATGTAGCTATTCTGTTCAGCCTCGAAAATGTCATTTTTTTAATATGATCTTCAGACCTAAAATCATACATATATAAATATAGATGCTCGTGCCATCATATTAAGTTTGTCTTTCTTTTGCTTATTCCCAGTTTTGTTGATGTTAGAATGAGTGATAGAATAGAAAATGAACTGACAAGTAGTTAACTCGTAACAACCATTGTTCAATCATTTATACATGCACGTAAGTTCAATAGACACACATATTCTATTGTATGTTTTCTCATTGCAATGAAACATACCTAACAAAAGATGAGTATTTAATTAATAACATAGTAAAAAATAAACTGATAATTCTAGTAAACGATGCATACTCGGAAAGGATCGATAGGAACATTCTCTTCGCACACACGTACGTTGCATGCTTCATTATTCATTGTACCCTTCCGGCGTAATATAGATTAAATAGAGACAAAAACAATCATGTATGCATATATAAATACGAGTTGATTACTTTGAAGGTTCTCTCTTTGCGTTCTTCAACTCATCGTTATAATCGTCAACATGACCAGTTCCGAGCTATTAATGTGGCAATCAGAATCGTATGCTGTTGACAGTCATTTATGAGGCGGCAGCAACAATGCTAAATTATTTGTATGTAAGTTGCATCTGTTCTGATTATTTAAATTAAACCTAATAAATACTACAATCCATCTTCAGTGAACATGCCGGACTGTTGTTTATGGTTAAATCGGTTGCGTTGTTGTCGACGACGACAACAACAACAGCAGCAGCAACAGACTTATATCTATTTATATAGTCCGACCATGGCCGATTCGTCTTCATCGTCATCAACAAGATCGTCTTCGTTTTTATTAAATCGTCTTGCATGCATTCTTTTTGCGTTTTGCCTTGCCATTATTCTTCTGCTGACAGCATTAGTTATTTATCATTTGAACAATAATATTTTCACTATGTCGCCAAACGTCAATTCTCATTCGAATATAATTGCAATTGCAAAAAAACGGCAACTACAAGATTTTGTCAATTTGGATGTTGATCCATGTGAAAATTTTTACAATTTTGTTTGTGACAAATGGATACAGCAGAGAAAATCGAAAGATAATGGCGACTATGAAAAGAAAAGGTCGCGCATTCGACATAAAATACACGGTAAATTGATGATTAATATTAGCAATAACCAAATAATATCCAGTGAAGGTATGAAAATTTTTCGTTTTTTCTCTTAATTCTTGAATATCAAGGAATTATCTCATTGTTTGGATATGCGTTGAAGATAGATATTAATGAGTGAGATGTAAACAAAAATAAAAACTTAATTGTCGTAGCTAACTAAGTGAGACTAGAGATTAAACTAATTAACGCATCAGTAGCCGCAATTCCGAATGCAGAAGATAACTCTGATCCATTATTGATATAGTATCGAATTCCGATTGAGGGCTTGGACTTTCCTATCGAAGACTTTTGCATCGTTACATCGATTTTTTTTATAAAAGATGGATACGATAAAGAATAATATTTCGCCAATAAATATTATTTTCATTTTATGACTCCTCGTTATCTCAATACTAAAAAGCAGTTGCAGCATGTAAACCCATTCGGCGTAAGATCAACGTTCGGCTGTATTTCAAATTATGACTACTGATGTGTTAATTCGCTTAATCTTTGGGCCGTAATTAGGACACGGCATTAATTGTATCTATTAAATGAGAAAAATCAATATTTCTATAATTCACTTTTGTATTGACTTTTATATACAATATTTATTTAGGTAATATCTCGTCATCGCAACTATCCATTTTAAAATTCTATCAATTATGTGAAACACAACCAGCATCTCAATTAGTTGATGAATTAGAACGGTATTTTGCTCGGCTCAGTCAGCAAGAACCATATCGATCACATTTAACTCTTTTCAATCAAACAAATTTAACTCATTTCATATCTTTACCGATCATTTTTCAATATAATCCATTTTTCAAAATAATTCATTCATCATCGAACAATAAAAAAGAGTCATTTTCGACTATCATTCGAACTGATCAACGTTCTTTACCATCACCTGCAGCTATTTTTCACAGTGCAATAAGATTAAATCAAACAGCATTAGAAAATCTCATTAAATTCGATCATAAATATACAAAAATTTTACAACAAACAGATCATAGTATTAAATTCTATGAACAAGAATATAGTCAAGATTCATTGATTATTAAACGAATATTAACATTCAAAAATTATCATCAATGTCTTCCATCATTAAATATGACGAATGGTTTAAAAAATCTCATTGGATTATTAAATCATTTTCTTCAAAATCGCTTACGACAGTTTAATACAAAATTAATCGATAAACAAATTCGTATACTTGAAACGATTACTGGCAATCATACACTAGTAGAACATTTGCGACGTATTCAATTAGAATTTAAAATTATCCAACAAATAATACCTTTGGAAAATCATTCTATTGATGATGATAATAGTACTTGCATTCTTAATTTATTCGAAAAATTACTTGATAAACGAATGCAATTAAGTGAATTACCATCAACTATTGATGTTTACTTTCATAATGCAAAACAAGAATATTTCATTTCAAATGATTGGCCTTATCTAATCATGTTAAGTGATCGTTTATTAAAAATAGTACCAACAGATACGCTTGTTAATTTTGTTTTCTTTGATTACTATCGACATTTTGTTTATCCATACTATCAACCACATGTTCATCCTTCTATTAATTCAAGAACAAATTATACAAACAAATCCTACACTTATATTTATGAAACGGACGATTCAAATCTATCGTGTTACGTTGGTGATTGTTTTGATATTTTGAATTGCTATCACCCATCATTAATTAATCAATTAATGGACGATAAAAATCAAGTAAGTTAAAATATAAAAATGACTCATTTCAAATAGATAAGAGTAATTGTCAGTAAATTTTTAAGAAAAAGAAACTAGTTAAGGAATGAGGCGAGGCAGCACTATATGACCCAAAGTATCATTTAGCATCGGTGGAACCAGTACGTATTACATATCTAATTTGAGTACCACTGACTACAGAACAGGTACGTACTCGAATGTAATGAAAAATTTTCGTTGTTCTCATTTGATATGATAAAGAATAAAATAAAACAGGGGTAAATGCCTCTGAGTACGAGATATTTGCAGCATATTGACCCTTACATCAGTGCAACATGTGAAATGAATAGTATGATGGTCAAGTTTTCAGAAATTTGCGTTTCTTCTAGACTAACGATTTGCTTGTACTCGCTGAGCATCGTTTCTACTGGTTGACTTTATCTCGAGTAGTATTCATTCTGCTTAGTGTAGAAATTTTTTGCAGTTCTTTAAACACGACAAAGTGTACCCAACAGATGTTTGCTTTATGTAACTTATCTATTTTTAGACAAATTATAATGCTAAACTGAAGAGCCCATGAACCTTTGTTTCTAAATTATATTTTATTTAGATTGTTCTTGATTCAACAAGAAAAAGTGTTGAAAATTTGATAAATCGTTTTCGCTTGTTAATTGAACATTCAGATCATTTATTTACTGAAGAAAAGAAAAAATTAATTAAAGAATTAAATCAAATAAAAATTGTTCTTGGCCATTATTCCACCCCAGTCCAAAGTATTCCTAATCAGAATCTATCTTCGTATCTTGGCTATGTTGAATTATTTTCGTCGATGTCATATGATCAACACGAACATTCATATGCTATGGAACCAATTTATAATTCAATGAATCATACACTGTTTCTTCCGTATGGTTTTATTTACTTATCAAATCATTCAATTGAATATTCTTTGATGAAAATTTTATTAACAATTCTTTCTAAACCAACTCAATCAAATCCATTTCATATTGAATGTTTAATAAAATCTTTTGATGATTCAAATACAACAATGATTGATATCGATGATGAACACACAATTTATCTATTATATCGTTCAAAATTTTTGTTTGAACAAAATATAAATCTTGATGAATATTTATGGCCATTTATGAGTGCAAATTCATTAATGAAACGATTTCTTATTGATTATACAGCAAATAACTATTGTCATAGTTTACATTCTTACACTTTGTTTCGAAACAATACTTATCTAATGGATGATGTGTATCTAGTATTTCACTGTCCACAAGCAAGTTCAATTGAACAATTGAAATGTAGTGTTCATTGATTTTTATTATTTTATGTATCGCAAAAAAAGTAGAAAACAAAATTTACATGTAACAATAAAATTTGCATAAATTGTCTAATATAATAGCGAGAGTGTCGATGAGAGATACGTATGGCTGTTGCCAATGCCTGTTGGACATCTCGAATGTTAAGAAATAATTTATTTTCTGCTGCGCTCAGGAACTATGACGCTAAAGATTACGTACAGATTTCATCTTTTGCCCATGATAATAATTGAAAATATGTTCAAGTTATATCATGTTTCGCTGGCGTTGAACTAATACAAACCGGATCATTATTTGATGTTGTTGAATCGCATGAGTAAACAATTTCATCAAATGCTCGAGAGTAATTTCGAATGCCACGTACTAATGAAACAATATTATGAGAATAGAAAGTCATCATGAAAATTTTTTTGGGATAATAATTACGAGAAAAACAGTAACTATCGTATACGATTACTCAATATGTACTATAGAATGACGTACCATTGCTTCCACTCATATTTATACGCTAGACTTGTTTCGTACGCAACGAGATGTCATTGAGTGAATAAAGAATGATACGAAAGAAAACGGCAACAATTGCACTCATTGTTTCTTTGCGTTCTACAGTGCGTTAAGAAGAAGTGTGTTTTCTTGCATTGTAAAGAAAAAAAGAAAAAGGCTCGTTCTTTTATTTTTGGTAGTTTCAACTTACTCAACAGAATTAGTGCATATATAGTAGATATTTTTCTTGTTTGTTTTCGGCTATACAATGAAAAAACGTAATAGAATTAGAATCCATACACCATACAACCTTATCAACGTAATCATCGTTCGAGATATTTTTCTTTATTAGGAGAATGAGTACATATCAAAAACAAACAACGACAAAAACACAAGAGACACCCATATAACATGAAGAAATATGAAACAGTTTAGTTTCTTGGATGTTTAAATAAGATCAGCTACATTCATTGGCATTTCGTCAATTTGTGTTGCGTAGTATTGTTCAATGTCCCGTAGAATACGGATATCATCATTCTTAACAAAATCTAAAAGCAAAACAAAATAAATCGTTTTTACAATGCGATATTTTTAACTTACTTATAGCAACACCCTTGCGACCGAAACGACCTGAACGACCAATACGATGAATATACAATTCACGAGAGTTTGGTAGATCATAATTAATAACCAAACTAACTTGTTGAACATCAATACCTAGAACGAACCGCAAAAGTTATTATTTTCGTTCTCTAAGATAATGAAGAGAAAAAAAAAGGTTTTACCTCGAGCCCAGACATCGGTTGTAATAAGTACACGTGTATCACCAGCACGAAATTCTTTCATAATAGCATCACGTTCTTCTTGTTTCATTTCTCCATGCATTGATGAAACAGTAAAATTAGCTTCACGCATTTTTTCGGTTAACCAATTGACTTTACGTTTTGTATTACAGAAAATGACGGCCTGTGTGATTGTTAATGTATCATATAAGTCACATAATGTATCGAATTTCCATTCTTCACGTTCGACAGCAACGAAAAATTGTTTAATACCTTCAAGTGTCAATTCATCACGTTTGACTAAAATACGAATTGGATCAGTCATAAATTTTGTTGTTACTTCAAGAATTTCATGTGGCAACGTAGCCGAAACAAGTATAACTTGAGTTTGAGGCGGTAAATGACGATACACTTCATAGATTTGTTCTTTGAAACCAAGATTGAGCATTTCATCGGCTTCATCTAATATTAACATTTTAATATGACGTGTTCCTAAAAAAATTAAAATAATTAGGAAATCTTAATATTCATAATACTCCTATTAAACAAATGATATATAACATGGGCTATTTTCGAAGCCAATTGGAAATGTGGTGATGCTTTCGAGCTTCCTTTTGAATGCATCGACACAATTAATTAATACTGTAAAGTGTGGAGGTCGGAGAAATGAGATGTTTCATCGTAGGAAATAGTTTTTTCTTACAGGAATAATCCAATTTTATTAAAACTAGGGATGGTACTTTAACTTTAAATTGACCGTAAAGTGCAGAGTTTAAAGTCACGCTTAAATTCTTCCTTTTGGCGTTTTATCTGTTGCAGGGAATCTCATAAGCATGATTAAATACGTCAGTACAGTAAAAAGTATTAAAAAGAAGCGGTTAAAGGCGACTTTAAACAGCTTTGAACTTTACGGTTAAAGTGCCACACCTAATTAGAACAACACTCATATGTAGGCTTCAATTTAATTTCAGTAGTAAAATGTATAGCCGATTCTAAACCTGTACTTTTTCTTTTGGAACAAGTCAATTGAAGCATATAATTGATGGTTGAGTGAATAAAATTATTCGATTACACGCGATCTATCAAATTTAAGTTCTTTTCCTAAAATAGCCTCCTAGCAAAATTAGATAAATATGCAAGGATCGAGTAAACAAGACTAGAGATATTTTGATGGCATTCTTTGGCATCCTTCTGGGATTGGCAGCAATGTGTCAACAAATATAGCGGCAAAAACAAGAAATACACTGAGTAAAACTTCATCTATTTTCGTCTTAGAGCAGAAAAAAGCGAGGAGAAGTCATCTCATTATACGCATTATTATGAAAAGAACAGGGCATTATGCCCAATTAAGCTATATTCATTATACTATATAGTCCTAACTATCACAAAGAAAACGTCAAGTCAAATCATAGTACAAAGTAAACGCCGCCATTAATTAGACATCGTACTTCTATTATATTTCTCGTTTAAGATCACGTACAAGTAAAAGACTCTGCTGAATACTATCATATTTTGAAACATTATTAATAAGATTTAAAAAAGAATGTAATTTGAGTTCTCTATTAAAAGTAAATTTCTTAGAATGTGTCGTAATCCATGAATACCGCGTAGAAGAGTCAAGAATTGATAATAGAGGAAATTGCAAAAATTCAGATAAAACTGAAATATTTTTTGATTAATCTCATCATGTTTTCATATAGTTGATTTTTAGAAGTCTAACTAAAAGTTGATTCTTAAACTATGTGACAGTTGATGTTTGTCTTTTCCAATTACTGTGAAAAAATATTCGTATATTAAGTGGCAATTTGTCGGAACCAGTTATAATTTGAACGTCAACTCTAATAGAGTTATAATTATGCTTCGCAGTTCTCCATCAGGAGAGAGTCAAAATTTACCTATACGAAAAAATAGGAATGTTTCAACAGTCAAGTAATTGCGAAAATTTTCTTTCTCAAAATAGTCAGCATTTAAGTGTAAACGGAAAAGCAGTTTAAATAGCCAAAGAAGTTTTCTAGGTACTCTATAAAAGAGACAGGCTACTGAAAACAAAAAATCGTAGTTTTAAGATTTCACAAGGATGAGTTATCGATGTTCTTTTCTAAACATCATGTAGACAAGATAGGCTTTTTTTGGTGGTGCTTATAGAACTTTTTAAACATAGCTCATCCGAAATGTGTTTATCGCTAATTTCAGGCGGAAGTTTTTGCTGTATACCACAGGGCTCTTAAAAGCTGATTTGAATACAACCGGAAAGTCACAGCCTTTTCTTTGTCAAAACTGTTCCTTTTACGAAGTTCATTCGATGAAGAATTTTAGTTGAATGCTTAATATCGAATAACTAGGAGATAATTTAGAAAAGCATGTAGGAACAATTCTTCAGAGTAGAGATAGTCAACGACGATTAAGGCCAAAGATTTTTAGTAGAATTTCAAAATAACTCTGAGCGCCACTATCTATTGGAGAACTCATAACACTAATAAAATCAATTATGACTATTTAGATTAAAACCAAAATTAATACATACGTAACGATCTTCGACTGATCATATCAATAACTCGTCCTGGTGTTCCACTAACAATATGTTGTCCATAATCGAGTTTTCTCATATCTTCGCCAGTATTTGTACCTCCGATGCAAGCATGACATTGTACATTCATAAAATCGCCTATAGCTAAAACAACTTTTTGAATCTGTTGGGCTAATTCTCTTGTTGGTGATAAAACTAATGCTTGTGTTTCACGTATATTTGTATCTAATCGTTGTAACATCGCAATAGAAAATGTTGCTGTTTTGCCAGTACCAGATTGCGCTTGTGCAATGACGTCACGTCCTTTGACAATTGGACGAATACTTCGTTGTTGAATAGCTGAAGGTTTTTCAAACCCATACGAATAAATGCCGCGAAGAAGATTTTCATTTAAATTCATTGCATCAAATGTTGGACATACTTCGACATCTTCACTTGTTTCAAAGTCAACTGTATCTAAATCATGACCTGTTTTAACTGTACGTTGACGTTTAGCTGCACGTTCTGGAATCGTTGACATGTTTGTATAACAAGCACCAGTTTACCAATTGAAAATGTGAATGACGAAATAATGAAAATGATAAATAACATTAGCCGACTCTTTCCTATTGGTTGATGATAACTAACAAAGAAATAAATAAATAAATAATTAAATAAATAAAATATTTTCGAAGAAGATTATTTCTTTCTAATGTTTTATCTTTTCAAAATTTATTTAGATGAATTTTCTTGTGTTGATTGAAGGAATACTGACATCTATTGATATTTGATTAGTTATAACAAGTATCGAATAATAATCACGGCACATGCTTATTGCGGAAATTAATCATTTTTTGAAATAATAATGAAAATCATCGAGTAAAGTTTGACCAGAAAAATATGTTTGATTTATATAAAGAGTTTCGAACTGTTAAGGTATTTCTTCTAGTACAAATAATAGGTTTTAGCTAGTTAATTTTCATTCATTTCTAGATGTATATGAGCCGTAATGGTCTTGTTTTATGATTTCTATTCTTCAGTAAATCAAGTAATTATCATTTATGAAATCTTGTTCAATAGATTAAGACTTATTTGATATATTTTTAGTTTATAAATCTACAGAATTATCATTTGGAATTAGTTTAATGAGAATATTAGTAAGTCACAGTTCCTACATCATTTGTCATAATTTTGAGAAACAAATATACTAATACAGTTTCATATTTACTGAAATCGTATATAACTATACAGATATCGATCAAGAGGGAAAAAAATTGCATGTCTAATTGTACTGAGAATAACGGAACTGCGAATTAGATAAACATGTAGGGATATAGTGAAAGTAATTTAGAATAGAGTTTCGAAGTTGCCAACATAAAACTCATTTTTCTTCGTATAGAAACTTTGTTTAACGCGATCAAAAAAGTATTTTGGATAAAAATTTGTACTAACAACTGTTTTTTATCAGATTACATAAGTACATCAGAATATATAAAACTACGTCGAGCATAGAATCAAGTTTTTTTTTTCGTTTCAACGCATATATCCGTCTGACCTGTTGTATATGTCATTCTCAGTCTAATACCTTCAGTGTAAACGTATGAATTTCGTAATGGCAATCCTTTCTCTTGTAGAATGTCATCGGATTCTATTGAAGTCGAAAATCCTTCTACAACCGAAGATTTATGTTCATCGCTAAATACAAATTTAAACGATCTGTATTCACCATCACGTTCATCATCAATTGATTTTTCATCGCCAAATCTACCAACTACAGATAGTTTGGATAATGAAAAATCATCTTCGAATAATCGCAAGGAACCTACAGTGAAAGTTCCGTATCCAGTTGTATCCGACCATCGTGACCCATCATCTGTACTTATACTTTTACAAAAAGAAACTCAAACAACATCGAAGAAAATTCTTGATGTTGTTCAACAAATTGAAAATTGTGAAAAACATTTAACATCAAATGGCCTATCAGATAAACATATGAAATCTCTTAAATATGAACGTGTTAAATTAAAACAAAAATTAGATGCATTGAAAAAACACGAACGTCGTGTCAATTTACAAATTGATTTTATGACAACCAAAGTTGAAATTAAAGGTTTAGAAGACGAACGAAAACAAGGAATTAATGATGAAAATAAACAAATTAATATTTTATTGGGTAAATTAAAACAAAAATTGGATAAAATGAAAATTTATATGAGAACAAGAAATGAACAAATGAAAAAAATGATCCATTCAAAACAGCGATCATCTACTTGTATGTTGAAATCTATAAAAATAAGCATATATTTTTATAACTTGATCTTTTCGCTTAACACAGCAAACGATAGTCGACAACAATTATCTAACAGCCAAAAACCACAACAACATCGTCTTAATTCATCAGATTCGGTAAAATTTTATCATATGAACAAATAAAATATAGATTTCAGGTCGCTTAGAGAGCACTAATCTCTACTACAGGTATCCAAAAAAGTCCACAATTGAATAGATTCTGAGTGAAATAGAGATCTGATCAGTACCATTTAACATCAAAGTAGCAGCTATGTTATGATGATAGAGTAGATTAGTTGACGCTCATTAGTAGTTGTGAACATTATAATTATTACATTAGATCCGTCGGCTTTATGAATTTTGAAAGACAAGGACTTCTACTGGTCTATTTCGTAGATTTGTAATTGTCTGTACGTTCATTTGACGTTTTTTTTTCTCAACGGAGATTTACAGAATAAGATTTATTCGTACTCGAAAGGAGAAAAATTTTCTAATTTTTTTAGCCTGTTCTGAAAGTTAAGAAAACTAGTTACGAGCATCAAAGCTCTAGCTAAAAACTTGAGTTTATGAAACTTTACATTGATCGTATGTCTGATCAAGTTCATCTATATAAATCTTTTGTTTATAGAATCAAAAGCGATTATTATCATCATCATCGGCTTCAAGTTTTCAGTCAAATAAACGTCTAAAATCGACAACTCATAATCAAAGCAAAGCTCCAGCTGTTCGCCTAGCATCCCGTTTGTCGAATCATCAATCGCATTCAATACGAACACCAACAGTGCGATTTCTAAATAAAACATCTGCTTCATCAATGATCGCACTCAATTCTTCATCACCAACTACTCCAGCATCATCATCGTCAACTCTATCACCGCCTCTTATTGCAACTACAAGTACACGTGATGCAAATCGTATTCAAATTTCTCTGCAACAAGTAAGAGAAAAGCAAATTGTAGTCAAATAAATTCTTATGGATAAGATACTTTTGCTGTTTTAGATTGAAATACCTTCAATTGATGAAGATGATGAACTTAATCTTGATCTTGATATAGATGAATTATTTCATGACGATTCATATTCTGAAGAGACCACACACGGATATAAATCTGAAACGCGACACCGTAACACCAATCTGGATAGTTTGAAAAAAGAATCTTAATTAAAAAAATGTATATAACCGTTTGGATTTTTGTATATGTTTTCAAATCTCGTTTTTTTTCTTCTGCGTCTTTGTTTACGCCCGGTCCTTTTTCTTTTAATATCTTGTCATGATGTTCATCTTGTTTCTACATTTTCTGTCACTTGTAGTTTGTAAAAGAAGTAACAAAAAAAAAATATATATATATATATTAAAAAGCTCTTCATTTGTTTCGCTTTTTCTAGATTTTAATAAAAGCAAAAACAATCATGAGTGATCCATCAGCACCAGCTAAAAAGGCAGCACGTTCATTTGATTTTCAATCAATGATGGAACAAGCACGTAAAGGTGCACAAGAACGAACAACAGTCGATTGGAATGATGAAATCGAAAAAGCCAAAGAAGAAAATGAATCACGTATTGCTGAAATGAAAATAAAAGCTGATGAAGCTGCAAAAAACATGCAGATCTCAGGGAATAACAAAACGAAGAATAGCAGTATCGAAGACGGAGAAGAAGATGATGATGATGATGGCGACGATGATTTTGGTCCGTCCATTGATCTTGCTACTGCATCAAGTGCTGATAATGAAGATGCAAGTAGTGATGATGAAGATGAAGATCGATCAAAGGTAGGAGAAAATTTACTTTTTGGTTAAGAATTATATACGATGTATAGACATCTTGATTTGAAATCATGTTGAGTATCATAGTATAGATCCGGAAAAATACACTTGTTCTTTCGGACATTAGAATTCTTTTAAAATTATTTCGTGCGATCGAGTTGACTATGCTGGAACAAATGAAATATGTTGAAGACTTTTACGAATTTTATGGCTTGAGATATATGAATCTTGTGGAGTTCATAGATTCTCTATTTAAAAATCTGTTAGGACTAAAATAAAGATTTATCAACTGGTAATTTCAATAGAAAAGATAAAACAATTGTAATAATATTCTTTTTAAATTTTAGCCTGTTGCAGGAGAAGATGATCGACTCGACGACGATGAACAACCATTTTTTCCATTAACACATGAAATCGATCTCAAACACGGTACAAAATCAGTTTCATGCTTAACAGTTGACACCAATGGTGAACGTCTTATCTCCGGTGGTTTTGATTATGAACTTAAAATGTGGGATTTTCCAACCATGAACAAAACTTTAAAATATTCTCGTGCTATATCGCCATGTGAATCACATCAATTACGTTCCATTGAATTTAGTCCTGGAAGTGATATGTTATTAATTGCAAGTGGCAGTTGTCAAGCAAAAGTCATTAGTCGAGATGGTAAATAAAAAAATTCAATTTCAATCAAGTATATTTTAACATTCGGTTTTTCTATTTTAGGTAAAAATATGTATGAATGTGTTCGAGGTGATATGTATATAATAGACATGCAAAAAACTAAAGGTCATATTAGTACATTAAATCGTGCATGTTGGAATCCAAAAGATTTAAACGTAAGTAACAATATTAAAACAAACAAATGATTAACATTCGTTTTGCTTCTCTAGGAATTTATGACATGTGCAGATGATGGTACTGTTCGTTTATGGTCTTTAATTCGTCGAACGGAACACGTATCATGTATAAAAACTAAATCCGAACAAGGCAAAAAAACAGCAACAACAACATGCACATATAATACATATCATACACATGTTACACAAAATGAATATTTAATAACAGCTGGCTGTGACGATGGAAGTATACAAATTTGGGATCGCCGTCGACCGTTTGTAAATGTGACATTTATGTCAAGACGTGCACATGAGCCAGAGAATTCTATAACATCATTATGTTGGTCCTATGATGGAAGAAATTTAGCGTCGCGATCAACTGATCATACACTTAAATTATGGGATATTAGGAATTTCAAACAACCCCTATCTGAGTATCGTGAGTTACATAATCGTTTTTCAATGACAAATGTAACATTTTCACCCGATGATCGCTTTCTAATAACGGGCACGTCAACACGAAAGAAACTCGATGATAATATCAATGATTCAACAAATGTTGGTTCTATTTACTTTTTTAATCGGAATAGTCTTGCAAAACCTGAAGGACAAATTCAAGTTAGCGAAGGAGCAAGTGTTATTAAAACATTATGGCATTCAAAATTAAATCAAATTATATGTACGACAAGTAATGGAATTATTAAAATATTCTATGATACCATACGTTCAAAACAAGGAGCTCTATTATTTGCAAATCGTGAAGAACGACAGAAGAAAGCCAATGATTACTTTATTAATATGAATATCATCAATCCACATGCTTTGCCTTTATATAGACAAGAAAGAGTTCGAAATTTATCTGTTATACGAATGAAAAATCGAGAAGATCCGGTATGTAAACATTTCTTATTCGTTCTTTTTCTTTTTGCCAGAGATTATTCAATAAAACAAATTACCAGTACTCATGGTTGAATGACTGTCTTGTTGGGCACGTACTCGTTAAGTACTATATGCAAGGATGAAATGACTTTTAAGGAAAAAAAACATTAAACTCGATTCAATTCGGGTCAACCATTTCCTAGAGAAACAAATTGCGTTATGTTTAGGAATGCAAATATTTTACATTAGACTAACTTTATGTTTATATTTAAAGAAGAAAACTCAAGCTATTAAAGTCTTTGCTGACGTGGTACAATCCTTAATGAGTACAATAGACAACGATTTCTAATCATGAAATTGATTATGATAGTAAAACTTTCATACTAGTGAGCCTATTTTAAGTAGCGCACTATATTTTATGCATCCTATATCAGTACTATAACAAATTTAATGATCTGTAAAATTTGTTATTCATTTATTCTGCTTGAAAAATTACTTTTATGTTTATCCAATGGGAAATTTTCTCTTTGGGATTGTAAAAGAAGGTGCTTGTTGGATTGTCATAGGTTTCTTTGTTGAAAATATTTTCATATTCCTATTATAAACTAAGCAATAATTAGGAATAGCTTTTCTCTTCGTATAAAATCTAATCTGAATACTTTAATTCATGCCTGAAATTTCTAATTGTCGACAATCGAGGCCAATTTCACAGCAGCCATCGAATAAGATTATCTTCTATATTTGTTATTTTGCATAATAAAAATATTATCCTGTCGGGACAGCTCATTCAGAGCACCTATGGGAAAAGTGTATCATTAGAATGAATAAAACGTCAAGTATTATATACTCAAGTTCTGCATGATAGCATGACTTGTTCAGGAGAAATATTTTCTAAATTGTATATAGAGTGACATTGCTAATAATATAAATATTTATGAATAGTTTCAGTTCATGTCATAAGTCTTTTTTTGCTGCTTGTAGGTCAAATCAAAACGACCGGATTTGCCTGTCAGTGGTGCTGGCTCGGGAGGTCGTATTGGTGTACATGGTGGCACACTATCATCGTATATCGTTAAGAATATTGCTTTGCAAAAGCCGCCAGCACAAAAAGAAGATTCTCGTGCTATTTTACTTGGTTATCAAGAAAAATGTGAACAAAACCCGTATTGGGTAGCACCAGCTTATACATCAACACAACCTAAACCTATTTTTCAAGCATCAACTGAAGATAAAAGTCGTGAAAAAGATGAAGACGATGAAGATAATATGGTGCCAATGTGGAAAAAACAAAAGACATAATCGTTTTTCTTTATGTGTGGGTATGTGTTTGTTTTTGTATAAATCTATGAATACATATTAAACCTGTTGTAATTACAATCGAAAATCGACTATGTATCTAGGTCTGATTGAATGAAACCTTGAAACTCAGTCACATGTAAAGTCTAGCCGTAGTTAATGTACATAAAAGTTATGTCTATCATAAAAAACAATGCAACATCATCAAAAATTGTTTAAACAACTTACTTCCTTTTATTCTATCTCATTAGACTGATATGAAAGGAATATTTCCGCTTTGACTTGACGCTCCGGATATGTTTATTGTTCAAATAATGAGATGAAACAAAAAAACCCGACAATCTTTTTATCATCGGAATTAAAAATGATTTATGTAACTACGTTGAAATACAAACAAGCTGTACAAAAAAAGTCCTTCTTCAATTTTTCTTAATATTATAAAAGCAAAATAGATATCTTAGTCACGTACTAATCCATATCTCTTCAGTTCTATTAATTGGATCGTCAGTTAGCTTTCTATAAGTACATCCAATTTCTCAATTTCTCTCTCTCTCTCTCTCTCTCTCTCTGTATATATATAGACGCGACTTCAAACGATATATATCTCATACTCGTTTGACGTTGAGCAGAAATCCTATTTTTATGTAAACAAATTGTAACAATGACGTCTATAACATTACCGCGTCGTATTCAGAATATAGATTTCATGCGTAAACATTCGAATACTGCTGATGATGTTCAATCAAAATTTAGAATCGCTGGTAGTTATTCATCAGACAATCGTGGACATTTTTTTCGACAAATAACAACAAATGAAAATAGAAAAACTGCTCGAACTTTATCATGTAATGAAGAAAAAATGAAATTATCATCGAATCGTTTTGATGTTAACAATAATAATAATAACAGTCGTTTAAAACATTTATGTACACGTTTTAAACGCCGTTTTAGTTTTTCAAAAGAATATCGGACAGACATTGAAGGTAAAACTCGACCTTTATCAACACGCTTTCTTAATTATAAATCATTTTCATCGTCAACAGAAGATTCAAGCAGCGAATTTGAATGGCCAGATTTTGAAAAAATCTATGATTCAATCCCGACTTGTCTTACAAGAGATTTGCATGGTCTGGATGACTCACCAACAGACGATGAACAATATGATGATAGTGATGCGGAAATCACCTCAAATTCAATAATCAATGACACAGCCGAACAGTTAAATTTATTTAAAAATTGTGAACGAGGAGAACATTTTCGACGAAATGCGATTTGTCGCAAACTTGATAAAAGTCAATATAGTTCACAATTGGACACATTTTCACAGCAATTAATGGTTGAAAAATTAATAAGAACATGGGCTTAGCGAATTCATTTTTTTTCGTCTATGTTTATACATTCATATGTAATATATATAAATATATCGAATAAAGTTTGAAGATAAAAACAAACCAATTGATTTGATACTAATTAATAATGACGAAATTATCTTTAACAGCTATCTAGTAAAATTAATTTCTATTTTTAATTAAGTATTGTACTACACGTCATTTTTTATGACAATTGAAAATATTATTCATCAGGAGATGGCAAAGTATTGCAAAAGAAAAGATATGTATTGTATCGAAAAATTGGCACAAGAGCGATATCTCTTCGGTCACTTTCAGCACTCTTATCACTCGACTTTGATTAAGAGTAGTAGAAAAAAATATTTCCCAGGAAAAATATTCTGTATACTTTATTGGATGTTTGTTTTAATCTTGGACTCTTTTTTTATTACTACATTTTCACCAATTTACGTCTGAACTCTCTGTTAGCTGATATGTGTTTGGAATCATTTTTAATCAATATTAGTTATGAGTTTATTTGATAAATTCATCGGATGAGTATCAAAACTAGGTAATGGTTTCTTTCAATGACGATTGATTTTAGTAGCTGCTATAATAACAATGTAATGTCGCGACAAACTTCGAGAAATTAGGCACCAACACCAAAAAAATCACCTTCTAGAAGTACACTCAACGACATGAGCAATTCGTATCTTTGATGTTGCCCACAGGAATGAATGCTAGCATAAATACAATAAATGCGGAAACATCGGATTTGCATCCGATTGTTATGTGTACTTCAAAAAGCGAAAATTTACATCCATTTTTTTCTATAAGGCATAGATCTGATCAAGATACATCCCTTCTCGCTAAATTACAAGGAGAAAATACAGGCATGCTAAGTTAGCATGGACCACACTGTATGCAACTCTATCCAGTGATCACTGACTCTACTCTCAGCGTGATATAATATCTTTAGAGATCACAGAAATTGAGCTCAGATTCGTGTTCAGCTTCGAAAACTGGATAAGAACAGTTATTTTTGAATGGTTTTGTGTTTGTATCTAGCAGGATTACGATCGTAAGCAACCTCATGAATTTATAAGAGATATAT